ACAAAAAATATTTTTTGTATGTGAAAGACTTGTAATGTTTACTGAAATACTGCCAAATTATGTGAAGATATACATACTATATTAAAAGTTAGTAGTATCAAATCTACAAAGACTTTATACGAGTACAAAGAGATTTTGTGGTTGGTCAAATTGACTAAGCCCGTGTTGAGAGAGTTAATCAGTTTTACTTGGCACTAATCAACATAGTTTTTGCTTTTTAGGCTTTTAACATGAGTACTCATGTTTATATTAAATAATTTATTTGGACTATCACCAGGTTATTTTAGTTTTTCAACACACAAGCTTTTGGCTCTATTACCTAAGCCTTCTACAGTGATTTGAATTGTTCCATTAGATCCTGTTGTTTAATAAACATCTTGCACCTGTAGAAGGCTTAGATAATTGAGCCAAGAGTTTGTGCATTGAAAAACTAAAATAATGTGGTGATAGCCCAAATAAATTATTTAGTACAAACATAGATTATGCTCATAGGTAATCAATTACATCAAGCTAATTTACCAACTTTGTGTATGAGGTTATTTCAGAATCATGAAGGAATTATAAAACACTTTCCTTATAGGTGAGATTCACATGTATTCAAAATAAAAAGACCACAATCCATATGAAATTTGATCAGAATTGCACTTTAGTTGAGCATTATATGTATAAAAGATATTTTGACAAATACCTTAATGTTGTAACACCTTCAATATTTGTAACTTTACATTTTTATCTAGAATCTTCCTCCTGATGGTAAAATTGCAAACCCTCTTGACAAGGTGAGCTTTTATTTTCATTTAAGTTAAATTTGCATTTTTTTAACTTTAATTAATTGATGGCCTTAACACAGAAAAAAGCTTAAAAAAATTCAGTGATATAAAATCTAATGTTTCAAATAGCTTTTACCATTTATGGTGTAGAATTGTGAAAAGTGTATGCATGTGGATCATTAATATATTAAAAACTATGACTACTTCAAATACTTGTTTTCACTAAGAAGTCAAGTTAGCAGTCAAAGCATAACCTTGACATAAATATTAAAAAATATGTGTCTGGAACTAGTATGAACATATAAAACTGTTCAGACAGTATTACAGTATCTTAGCCCATTTTGATAGTTTCTTTTCTTACTTAATAGAAAACTATTAAATAAGTACTGGTTGGATGGGAAGTTCTACATAAATCCATCAAAATAGGGTAATTAATTGAAAATTGGTTTATAATGTGTTATTGCATCACAATAAGGCATAATAATTTTGATCTCCAATAATGGAAATTCTTATTAGACTAGTAAAAAAGGATGTGATTAAAATTATTATTATCAGTGTTATTACTATCTGCCAAAAATGTAGACTCTGTTGTAATATTTGTACCAGCTATTTTATGGAAATATAATGACATCTTATTAGCATAAGAGATCCTAAATCCATGATACATGTAACAAGTGGAAACTTACCACTAACTATTTTACAGTTATCAGCAGGAAAGTATACACAAATTCAAACTTCTAACAATGAACAACAATATTTTAGGAATGCAATACATTACAAATTTTCAAGCTCTTTAATATTATCATTCTATTTATTTTATATTATTGAAAACAAGAGAGAGCTATGGTGTATTTTCAATTCGTAACTCAGATAACATAAAGTTAAAAAAATGAAGTAGCTAAGCCAAAAAATATAACAGTTAATGACTTTTGTAACTGAGGGCAGAAAAAAACATTTTACAGGGTATTCCAGAAATAACTTCCCTATTTTGAACTTAAATAAACCCATTATTACTAAGCATAAATAACTGTAGCTTTGTATACGTACTAACTTGATTATTTAATATAAGATAATACATGTATTTCTATTAATTAATTACTCACAGTTACCAAATATTAAAAACAAAAAAATGACACAGCTCTGATGATAATTAAATTTACATATTAAACAAACTGTATTGAACATGCCAATATGTTTGGGCATGTTGATGATCACCAACAGAAGCTTTATTCAACATTTATTGTTAAAACTATTTTGTTAATAAGTATTTCTGTAATCAAGTAATTGGTAATTGATTAATAAGTCCATACCTATTAAATTAATTTTTATATTATCATAAGCCCCACAGTTAAATTGGTATATAACAAAGTTTCATTTATTTATAATTAATGATAATGGTTTAATAAAGTTTAAAATAAGAAAGTTGTTTCTGGAACACCCTGTATTATCTTATGTATGTACAGTATATAAATGTCTTTTTTTTTGCATTACTTGTAGTCTGTTATAAAATGGGACTATTTTTGCCATGGTGTTATGTCAAAAGAGTTGCCATTGTAAGTAACAATGATACAAATACTTTAAAAGATTTTAAGGGTGTAAAGTTCATCAGCTGTTGTTGTTATGGCTTAATTATCATAAGATCACAAAACAATTATTCTCCTATCAGTATCAACAGATAAACTTTTTTGCATCTGTTAAATGAAATGCTTTTTGATGACAGGTGTAATTTGGATTTCTGCCACACGTGTAACCAAGCACTGATGTTACATAAAATTGCTTTTACATACCAATGTAATGGCTTTCCAGTGAAAGACTTCAGGGAAATTAGATGTAATTATTTATGCATAAAACTTTTAACATCATGGAGTTAAAGAAACAGTTGCTTTGAAGCAATTTTTGTTCATCAATTTTGCGTATGAACTTATAATTACTTGTGAACAAGTTAGATTTCCCTTGAGTTGCACAACAGAGAGTTTAAAACAAATGATCTTAAATGGTCAATAACTTTACAGGTACCTACATACAATTTAAAACATACAAAAAGTATATGTTATTGTGAGTTGTGAGTTTCAAAGCACTTCAAATTTTTTTTTTTTTTTACAAAATGTCTCATTTGTTGAACAGATTGAAAATACGAAATGTAGATGTCAAATTAATGTGCCATAAAGATAATTTTTTGTTCATGGATAATTAACAATATTTGAGTCTGTTTATTATAATGGTAACTAAAAATAGCTTTCCAAAGAAAGTTGTGAAAAAAAAAAGGGCTTTTCAAAATATGGTTATTGTAATATTCCCTAGATCAGTATATGTTTTTTTAATTGCAGGAACTTCTTCTCCTCAAAGCTACATCCCAAGCCACAGTTCTTTGTTTGGAGCAGTGCTTGTCCATTATTCAACATAAGGTATTACCCATAACTAATTAAATCAAATTAATAGAATTTCAAATCTAATGGTTAAACATGCTTTTTTTTTAATAATTTGCTGTCACTGATTATATTTAAAACATTTTGGACCAATGCATGGAAGCCATCTACATAAATTATTCATTTTTCAGTGTATACTGTGTTCATATTTAGAAATAATGGAACTAAAAGTTTTAGGATTAAAAATCTTTAGAAAAGAAACCAATTGAACAAAAATTTTGAAAATTAGGAAATTACATGTTGATCAGTGCATCTATAAAGAAATTACCCAGAATGATTAAAAAAGTTTTATATTTTCTGATTATTAATGGTAACAAAATCATTACATATGACTACTTGTAAAGTGGTAAGGTAATGAGTAGTCACTCAAGGTGGTTGAGGAAAATAATGGAATATCTTAAGTATTGCATAAGGTTAAAATTAATGTTTTAAATTCTGTATAAAACTTTAGAATTGTAATATTTTTGTTTTGGTGGGTAAATTAATTTTACTGTTCGAGCTGGTCAAAAGTAGGCATATTAAAACTTAAGCTATGTTTATAGTAAATCTACTGAATGATGTCATTAAAGTGCAGTTCTAAATAATCCAAATTAATATTATCTAATCAATTCCAAAATCTTCATTCCAAAACACACCTCCGCTCCCTCTTTATCCCGAGGAAAGGTTCTTTTCTTTGCCTATCTAAGCATTGGTATGAATTCTACCTCACTTACTCCAGTCTTTATACCCCACTATATTGCCCCTAGCAATTTTAATATTGTGCCTCGGTCCACCTATGTCAATGCTCCCTCTATACCCAATCCATACTCCTCGGATGGATTTTGGCTACCTCCCATGGCTATTCTACATACTCCAGCTTGATTGTGATAGATGCGAGAACTTCATTTCTTTTGTTCTCCTTTTCTGGGACCTTCTTGTCATTCTCATTTGGATCCCACTCATTGGCAAGTGTTGCCTAGTTAAGTATGCTTTTACAAATCTGCACTAGTTACTAGTAGACTAATAACTAAATTCCTGGTAGCAACAAGCTCTGTTGAGATGGGGTGTTCCGTGAGACCACCTTGGCACTTTCCGGGTGGTAAACAATTGTTCTATATAAAATATCACATACAACACTGGACTATCATGAGTAAAGCATAAGGGGACTTTGCCCATCCCTGCTAACCCCTGGATTGAACAAATCAGGGTTGGTTTGCTTTTCAAAATATGGAACCTTTTTTACATATTGCAGCATTGTTCCTCAGGAGTTCCCCCTCTCTTCTAGTGGTGCAAGGGAGTCCTTCTCACTCTCAGATTCCTGTAGCTGGATTGGTGGACAGAGATCTATTCCTCCTGAGTGAGTCTGTACTCTTTGTTCCACTCAAGGAAAAGTGGGTGAAACTGTCTGGTGGGGAGCCAGACCAGCCTACTTGAGAGCCTCTTCATAATTCCAGTTCAGAGGTAACACTTCACTATCCTGTTCTGTGAGCATGGCTTTCTTTTTGGTTATTCTAATACTTTCCATGATCATGGAAGAAAGACCTCGACTCCTCACAATTCTACTCACGGAGCATCATGTCCATGAGCCATTGGCTGAACTTCATTTGTTCCACATCCTCCTTGTAATTATGGGGGTAGGAGGTGTTGAATTGCCTCTAAAGATGAGGAGTTAGGATTTCAGTTCGTAATCCCAAGCCAGATGATTTTTGTGTTTTCAGGTTGAGAGAGAGACGTGAATTGGCTCCATAATTCTGAGTTCAGTTTGTTGTATTCTGTGCTTCTTCAGCTTGTAGGGAAAAACTTGTCCAGTTGGTTGTTGCTTGTTTTTCCTTTGTAATTTCAGTGCTTTGCATGCAACATTCTGTGACTTTCAGGTTGGGTGCCTGGGCACTTAATTTCGAGTTCAGTTTGTTGCATTCTGTGATTCTTCAGGTTGAGGGGAAAGACTTGTCCATTTGGGTGTTGCTTGCCTTCCCTTCATAATTCCGGTGGCTCAACATGTATCATTCTGTAACTTTCAGGTTGGGTTTCCTTCATATGATATTCCTATTATACAGTTATATCACATTGTGGTCCCCCTTGCCCTAACCACTACAACTTGGATCTAGCATTGCTTCCACAGCCCTATAATTTCAACGACAAGATGTGAAACCTTGTCTTTGTGGTTGGGGCCTGGAAGAATCTCTCGATAATGAATAATGTTGACTCTGTAGCCGGTTGACTCTTTCTGCTCATGTTTTGGTTTCACTTTATCGGAATGAAAAGCATACCTGTTTCAGAAGTATTGCTGACCCCCACTAGTGTGCTTTATTATATTTCAATTTTACACACCTATTTTTCTATGCAGATGCTTTCTATGTGGATCCTGCCCTCACTGGCCCCTCCACCTTGTCATTGTGGGATTCTAGCTAAAGTGGGAGTGGAGGCAAGTGTGTTTTGGAAGTTTACATTGGGTATGATAATCTTGCCAGTCTCAAAAAGTGAATAAGAAAGAATAATAGGGAGCTTACATATGGATTGGGTATAGAGGGCTCATTGATGTAGGTGGAGAGAGCCACAAGATTAAAATCACTAGGTGTGATATAGTGGGGTATAAAGACTGAAGCAAGTGAGATAGAAGTCATACCACAGCTTAAATTGGCAAAGAAGAGAACCATTCATTGGGATGAAGTGTGAGATGAGGTGAGTATTATCAGAAATACGTTTTCGGTGTCGGAAAATGTAAACTCTTCACATGCATGAGGAACAGTAATTTTCATTAAGCAAATTTTTAGTACATAAGCATCATTGAGTGCAGTTCTTTAAAACAGTTGTAAGTATTGAAACTTTAGAGATTTTTCCTCTCGGGTATTATTAAGTTTCTCTCTTAATACTAGACTGCATCTCAAGCTAAACTTCAGGATGATTCAAGAAGGAAGGATTTGATGTCATCAGGGACAAATGTGTGAGTCTTTAAGAATATGGTTAATTTGAAACTACATCCACGTTTAGAATTTAGTAAAAGTCCATCATATATCTGAATAAGGAAAACTTCAGAACAAATATTTATTTTTATGTATGAATTTTATGTAATTCAAAGAACAATCCTGAAAGACTAGTAAGAATCACTGTTAACTTCATGTTTTCTAACTTGACAGGCAATACTTAACAGTCTAGCATTATTGTGAACAATGGCAACACTCTGTATTCCACAAAAATATTTATGCAAAGATGCATCATAGCCTGATAGATAATATATCAACATTACTTAAGAAAAAAAAATTGACCTGACATATTATGTTAAGCAAGTTTTTCTGATATGAAAAATAATTTATTATTCTCTCTGTTTTAAACAAATATCTTAGAATTTCTTTTTTTGTCTTTGTACTGATTATTAAGTAAACAGAAACCTCAGATTGATTAGTTGTACTTCATGATAGTTTATTACATGCAAGTACTTCAGCCTGATAAATATTCTTGCGATATAATGTTTCATTATCATACTGGCCTGCTAGTTAGGGTGCTTGACTCGAAATCTGCAGGTCATGGGATTTAAACCAATTGCCATCATATCAAACATGCTCACCCTTTCTGCCAGGGGGCATTATAATATGATGACCATTTCCATTGGTGGTGGGTGTTGCTTCCCTTCCCTCGGTCACCATTTTATAATTAGGAATAGTGGCAGATAGCCTTATTAGCTTCGCCATAAACAAACAAATCTGTTATCATGCATTCTATGGTTTAACAATTATTTCAAGGTAGTTAATTTCATTATATTGCAGGATAACAGATCTATGACCTAAAGTTATTTTAAAACACAATTTTGAAAGGAAAAGTCAAAGTCGAGTACATCACATGACTAGATGGCACATAGGAGCCAATACTGAACTCCAATGTCAGTGGTACAAATGGATGAGAATGGTGAGACATTCCCTCTGTTGGATACCAGTTATACAGCTAGGTAGACTAAAATAATTGGGATAAAGTGTCTTGCCCAAGAACACAACAACATTTTGCAAGCAAGCCTTGAACTTGCAACCTTCTGACAATGAGTAAAGAGGAAAACAACCTAAAAAAAAAGTACTAAACTTGATAGTTTTACTAAAGGCCTTGGTCATATAAAATATTTTCAACCTAGCTGTTTAATATTCTTATTGTTACAAATAATGTCAAAATATTGTTTCTTTCACGAACACTTGGGCATTGAAGGCTGTCTCAGAATAATTTTTAATTGTCTGTCTAGGTGTTTACAAAATTGTTTGTTTGGGAAATGTAGGCATATGTAAGTTTATTTGCATTTGTTCTGTTTTGATAATGTTTTAGTAATGAACGTTACTTATACTTTTTAAACAATTTCTAGTGAAACAAAATTAAGGACATCGTATATAACACAACAGTGCATGTTTTGTAGAATGTTTTTTTTAATTTAGCATACTTACTTGGAAAACAGCAATCCATAAAAACAAAAAATATTTATGTTTTATTTTAAAAACCTGTGACTTATGAGATGTTCCCACAGGAGATTGAACCTGTCTCACTTTGACATTAGGGCAGTACTAACCTTGCTAGGCTGATAATTACCTAACAACTGTGCTTGCTCATGCAGTTACCTTTAGTAATTGTTAGCTTAGGCCAGGCTTAAATATATTTCTGTTTGCTGTAACCCGACCAACCATTTGAAATTGTGGCCGACTGAGAGATTTTTTATTGACATTATGACTTGGGAAATTTTTATTTTCACCAATTTCTGCTGATATACTGACCCATCTAACAAAATTTGCTAACTAAAATTTTGATCACCATATTATGGTTAAAATAATTGTTCTTGGAAATTCATGTAGTCTGCAATGACGTGGGAGGACATCTTCTGATTACCAATTGACAGCTCAATGCTGATTGGTCAATGCATTGAGGTTTGATGACATGATTTATCTCATACCAAGGACCCTTCACACTAAACTGATAGTCACAATCTAGCAGGAGAGAATTTACTATTGATAATAATATATAAACAACTTGTCAAACACAAGTCTGTTCAGTGTGTCTGTCTCCGAAAAAACATTCTCTTGGATTGAGGATTAGGATCAAACACAAATTAATTCTGATTGGAAACTTATCCACTTGAAGGTAAGTACTTCTAGATTTGCTGAAATGAAACAGAAGAACAAACTGTTGGCAACAGTCAATTCAACTTCATCAATCAAGGTCGTTATCTACGAACATGTGTGTATTGCAGAAGAATTCTATAAAAACTTGTGATATGCTGACATCCTTTTAACTACCTGTATGTTGGAAGTGTTAATGTTAAGTTTTTTTTAAATTTCTGTGGTATTCTTTTCAGAATAAATGTTGACAGTAATTGTATTCATGGTTTAACACATTACATTTTAGATGATCAGGAAACTAGTGGGATTTCCAATTTTTTTTTTTGTCAAGCAATTAAAAAAAAATTACAGACCTACCTACCTACATTGTAAATCAGTTTAGGGTTACAGCAAACAAAAATATTTTTAAGCCTGGCCTTAATCAGCTTAGTACTGGTAGCATGCAAGTTGAGTTCAGTCTCCTATTGGCTTATCGTATAAGTCACATCATCTCCAAACAAAATGTATTATAGCTTG